ACCTTAACCAATAAAGAAATTAAAGATAAAAAGGAAAGAAATCAGCTATCAATTGTATGGGTGCTTCCTTGTAGGTAACTAACTGCTTTTCTCTTGCTTTTAAGATTCTTTGTCTTTAACCCTTGGCATTTTAATTATAATATGTCTTGGTGTGGGCCTCTTTAGGTTCCTCTCGTTTGGGACTCTTATGCTTCCTGGATTTGTAAGTCTATTTTTGCCTAGGCGAGGTCCAGCTGTGAAGCAAGGCAGGCTGGTGCTAGTGCCAGGTCTTGGGCCATTTACTGATAGGTTTGGGGCATGATGACACCAGCTGCAGCTTGTTTGAGAGATTTTAGGAAAGTCTGAAGCCTAAGCCAGGACAGACCATTCATATGAAAATGCTGCTGCAAACAGCTTGGATGGGACTGCAAATTGGATTGGGAGGGGTCTCAGAGAATCATCAGTGTTGAGCAAACAGTGTGAGCCAGGCTGATGAAGACTCAGACGTGGCTGCCAGTCAGCCCTGTGACGGGAGGTCCTAGCACAGGAATAATGACCCCTATGAGCACCCCTATCTGGGAAAAAACTACCCCTGAGTTCCTGCCCTGATGCCAGACAATCCAATTCCTCCCCATATGTCCCTGGATTCCCCCAAAGTTGCCCAGTGCTGAAGCTCAGAGGATGTGAGACTGTGTAAGTTTGTATGCAGGCCTTTTAAGAGAACCTGGTACTCCTGCAGCCTCTGTGTCACTCAGCCACAACCCCTGCTGGTTTTTACAGCCCAAAATTATAGGAACTTCTCAGCTCTGAAACTCTGGGCTGGGGGTCTGGTGTAGGGTTGGGACCCCTTGCTTCTCATGAGTGGACTCCACAGGGAAGATCTCCCTCCTGATTGAAAAAATGGCACACGTGATGTCAGATCAGCCAGTTCCATGTCTCTGCCCATCCTACCAGTCTCAATGTGTTTTCTTCTTTACTTCTCGAGGTGTAGGACTTCCATTCAGCCAGATTTCAGGAGTTATGAATGATGGTTGTTCTATATTTTAGTTATAATATTGATATGGTTGTGGGAGGCGGCGAGTACTGGCATTTACCTAACACCATCAACTTCACCAAAAGCTAATCTTTACCATTAAGTATAGTGTCTAAATTCTGGGCACTAGAAAGGCTGGCTATGCATCCTATTTGTATTCCTGTTTTATTTTAAATTTATTTATTGAATTTATTGGGATCACAATAGTTAATAAAATTATATAGGTTCCAGGTACAATTCTATAATACATCATCTGTATATTGCATTGTGTGTTCACCACCTCAAGTCATATTCATTTTTACTTGAAAAATGTATTTTCCCCTGTTGTTGGGATACAATGTTCTGTGTCCATTAGAACAAGCCTATTAATTATTTTTTAATCTTCAATATCCGAATTTCCCATCTTTCTGTAATTCACAGTTAATCTGTCAATTATTTAAAGAGAAGTGTTTAAAATCTCCTAGTATAATAGTGGTCTTTGTAGATCTATCTTTTAATTTTTAGTCATTTATTTTTTTGCTTTACTAATTATTGACATACATGCAAGTTTATAACTTCTGACGAATTGTACCTTTTATCATTATACTAGAGGTCCAGTGCACAAAAATTTGTGCATGTGGGGGGGGGTGGAGAGGGGTTCCTCAGCCTGGCCTGTGCCCTCTCACAGTCTGGGACCCCTCGGGGGATGACCACCTGCTGGATTAAGCCTGCTCCCCGGGGGATTGGGCCTAAGCTGGCAATCAGACACCCCTCTCGCAGCCCAGCAGCCCTTGGAGGAAGCCCACTTGCCAGCGGGGAGCAGACCTAAGCTGCAGTCGGACATCCTTAGCGCTGCTGAGGAGGCAGGAGAGCCTCAGCCATTTCCAGTCTTTCTGCTGTTAGTGTCAGTTTTCATATTACCCTTTTACTATATAAGATAGAGGCCTGGTACACGGGAGGGGACTGGCTGGTTTGCCCTGAAGGGTGTCCCGGATCAGGGTGGGGATCCCACTGGGGTGCCTGGCCAGACTGGATGAGGGGCTGATGGTTGATTTCAGGCTGGCCACACCCCCTTCAGGGTAGGGGTCCCGACTGGGGTGCCTGGCCAGTCTGGGTGAGGGGTTGAGGGCCGTTTTCTGCATTTTCCCCTGTTGTTGGATACAATGTTCTCTGTCCATTAGAACAAGCCTATTAATTATTTTTTTAATCTTCAATATCCGAATTTCCCATCTTTCTGTAATTCACAGTTAATCTGTTAATTATTTAAAGAGAAGTGTTTTGGAGAAACTAAGATCGCAGCATAGGTAAACACCGGGAAATCGCTGCCTCCCACAACAACTTCAAAAATACAATGAAAAGACAAAACGGACATCATTCAGAACTACAGGAAGGCTAACTGAGTGTAAATTCTACAACTAGAAGAAAAGAGAAAAGCACACTGAGAGCCAGAGGAGCTGCGGAAGTAAAGTGCAGAGGTACGGAGGCTCGAGCGCGGAAAGGGGCTGGCACCTGAGGACGCGGCTGTCTTTTTGAATCGGGAGGGAGTCACAAGCTTCTGACTGCTCTGCACTCTGGTTCCGGGAAGTCTGTGGGGATCTAGGACTCATACGGGGAGAAACTGGACTGTCTGGCAGTAGGCAGAACTTTGAACTTGAGGGCGACTTTCCCTCAGAGGTGCTTACAGCAATTATCGGGACACTGAGATGCGCGGCCCCTTAGGGCAGGGCTGAGGATCTGCCATAGCTACTTGCTCCGCCCTTTGATTCCCTGAGACCCTGCCCCACCCGGGCTGCAGCAGAGGCTTTTGCATATGAATGCCCCGGCCCTTTGCAACCTGAAAATTACCTAACAAATTGCAGGTGGGCCAGACAGATCCAGAACTTCCAAGAAAAGGCCCAAGGCCCCACAGCAGCTTGCATTGCTTCAGAGCTGGGCCTCATCAGAGCACCTCCAAACCCCAAAAAAGGAAGGGGAATCTGCAGCTCTCTTCGTAGCTCTTCCTGGGTAACCTCAGGCAGAGGCTAAATTAGCACCTCCTTAGATCCAAGAGCCACTGTACTCAGTTGTCAGAGGGGGACCATCTGGATTACAACTCCTCAGTTCCGTAAGGGACACACTCAGGGGGCAGACTCAGTGAGCACCAAAGCCCCACTGAAGCAAGTCTTGCCCCAGAAGGGTGTCTTTAGCACAGAAGTTCTCCCACTACAGACACAGCTGATTCTCACTGCCAGTTGGCCTGGAGGTCAATTCCTCCCAGTGATCCTACAGCAATCAGAGCATAACTACAACAAGACTGTGCACAAAGCCCACAGCTGGGTGCATGAAGAGTGTCCACCTCAGGTAACTGGGGAGGCCACTGGGCCCTACAGGACACCTAGCACACAAAGCCTCTCTACCAACACAGGGAAGCAGCCAAAATGCGGAGA